CAGCACACATTCTCAGCTTCACTCAATAAAATCACAACTTAGTGGGCTGCAACTTGGTAGTATCTTCTGCTTAGGAGGGAGGCTGGCTTAAGCTGCAAGGCTGTGCGCCACACAGTGCCTTGTAACTCCAGCCCTCTTCCAGTTAGCAGGACAGAAATAACCTCACTATCCATTTCCAGAACTGCAGTTGTTTTCCCAGAGCAAAGATCTGGAGCCATGATGAGTGATAAACCATTAAACCAGATGGACCTTGTTTTGTTTAAGCTGTGTTACTGCATGTGATATCATACTGCAGAAAAAAAACATACTTAGTGAAGCTCACATTGCAAAATGCTGCAGGTAACCAAGGAGTTGGTCACACTTCTGTGACACACAGAAAGCAGCATATCTGGGAGATGTTTACATAAAAAAGAATAGACAGTCAGCAAATGATTGCTAAGTAAAGCAGTGTTATTTGTTATTAGTTCCCAGAGGGCAAAATAAGTGTACAGGTTACTCCATTTGCTGTACGTTAGTTCTCTAGGATGTTACCAGGGTGGAGAACCCATACTGGAGTCAGAGCAGGTTCATGAACCTGTACCAGGCCAGCAATTAAACACGGACCAGCAATGAATATCTGCTCCACTTTGCATTCATAGCCAGCATCTGCAGTGACATGATTTTATCTGTGTCCACAGAAAGTTGCAGTTCTGGCATGTGGTGGTTTTTTGGAACACAGTAAGGAAACTTATTCCAAGCATTTCATTCAGTCAGTCTGATTTATAGTGAGGAGTAGGTTAAAATCCTTCAAACTGGTGGCACAGGAGATAAAAAACATTGTATACAATAGAGCACCTGAACTTCCCGAACTATTACCTTCCATGTGGCCATGTTTCAGTACTCCAAAATCCGTGACCTGCTGGGAAGGGGACAGGAGAAGGAAACCTTGTTTGTAAATCCTCGCCTTACGAAGCTGGGTTTCCCAAAACTGCCCACCAGGCAGCCTTACTCACACCTGGTAGTACCGACCTAGGGACTGAGGGAGTTTGGGACCTACAGGATGAGGCAGCAGCTACATCATGGTTGTGAAGACATGATAGCACCTCAAATGCGAACTCAGTGATCAAAGAAGGATTCTGGCATCCTCTGTTAAAAGAACAAGGATCTCTCAGGCAGTGAATGAATCAAGAACCAGAAGGTTGGAAAAATGAATCTATCATTTTGTGACTGGCAGCATGTAAGGAGCTGAAAGCAATTGGAGTTCCTGCTTGTCTCCTGTCACAGCCAAACAGGAATTGATGGGATTGGGGTGATGTGTGGTCTGGGTAAAAGCAACGTGTCTCATGCAAAAGGGCAGGTGGCAGGGAGCACATGGCTCAAATGATGAATGAGTGGCAGGAAAATATGCCCTCCTTAAACTTCATAAAATGGATTGTGAACAGATAGCAGTAGATCAAAGATACCCAGCACCTCACCTCCACCCCAGCACAAATACTTCCCTGGAAACAGCTAGAAACAGACATAAGGCTAAAAAAAAGGAGTGCCTATCCAGCTCAGCCCTTCCATCAACACTTCAAAGATCTTTTTGACAAACATAATTCTTGTTGTTTTTTATCCAAAGACGCAGCAAAGCCACCTGAATTTGAGCCAAGTAAGGGGCAGCATACCTAGATGTGACCCAGGGCTGTTGCTAGCACCAGGCAAAAGAGCTGTAAGGCAGTATGAGCCGGGTGAGCAGGAGACACTGGCAGCTGGAAGGAGCCAGAGAAAAGGAAGTGGGATAGACAGAAAAAGAAACACTCACTGGCTGGAAAGAGCTTGGGAAGGCGGAGGGGTAGGAGTACCCAGGTGCCAAAATATGCAGTTGTAACCCCATGTATGAAAATTTACTTTTTTAGCAAGAATATAGCAAGAATATAGGGGTGTTTACATGCACACAAATACACTGGATTCCAAATAAATGCTTTCCACGTTAGATTTTTTTAAACTTCAAATTTCAGCAAATATTCATCCGCTATCCACAGACCAAAATTATCTTTTGAAGATTATACAGAAAGAGTCACGTGTACCTTTTTTAGTCAAGAAAGCATTACCTTCTTCTCAAGGTAACTCTTTTCAGTAACTGATTAGTCTTCTCTTTTCACTGATTGTGTCCCAATGAAGTAATTAAATAAATGAAGTCGGCAGAAAACAAGGGATGCTTGTGGGTAAGACTTGGTTTTAGGCAGGTCAGTGCTAGAGCAGGTGGTTTTACTGTATCACCTTGGCTTGCCCAGGCTGCTTCAAATGACACCGCTGAAGCTTTCCAGCCTCTGGCTGCTAATATAAAGAGCAAAATCAGGCTGTATTTACTAACAGCTCTTTGTGGAGCTTCCAGGTTCCTTTTAAACACTTGGAAGAGTGAGAAGGGACAAGGGTCAGGGCAGGAGAGGCAGAACATGACCTCCTGTTTGCCTTTGATTTGGTAGAGAGAATAGCCAAAGCCTGGCTTCTGATTATAACCCCTTTCCTTTCATGGGGGCTCAACACACAGTACAGGTGCTGTGATGTACTCTAGCCCACACTCATAGCTCAGAGCCACAATCATTCAGATGGCATCTAGTGCTGGTGGTTCCCCTCCTTCATATAATACCACGCATAGGCATAGCATTTGCTGAGGTCAGCTACTACACACTTACACTTCCCAGAACAGACACATACAGTAGACATTTTTCTCCCAGCCTGCCAATGGACATCTCCATAGTAGACAAAAAATACTCTGAGTATGACCTGTAGCTCTTGAAATTTTCAAAGAAAAGTCTCAGGTTCTTCAGTCATTTCTGGTTTTGAACTGTTTGGTGTAAACCAAAGTGGAAGTCCTCACTTCCAGCTAAATTTCCAGCACCTGATGATCTAACCCTACTTGAAAGTGGTGGACGCACATTTGGAACCAAATCACAACACCATAAAATTCATTGCAGTTGTCACAAAATAGCCTATCCAGCTGCAGTGTTCTGAAATCTGAACAAAATTATTGAAGCTGCACAAGCAATACAGGGACACAAAAAAATAATCACAAAGTTGATTTTTTTCTTAGAAATGTATTTTGTAAGAAAACAATATTAACATTAAAATGTTTATTATACAGTATAAAATAATTGCTTTAATTAAACTCAGTTCCTTACCAAAAAAAAGCCTGAGGATTTTTATGAAGCCTCAATTCCTACAGCTGTGTCTTTTGCCTTCTGTGATTCCTACCGCATTGAAGAGGTTTTCCCCACATGATCCTTAGAGCACACAAACAGTCCTAAAGCATCTCCCATCCCTTCCTCAACACACTCCACGCCCAGATGTGTTCTAACCATCACTCGTAGGCTCTGTGGCTCCTATCTGTCCCCCACACCCACCCTCAGATCTCATCCACCAACCTCTTTTGGTCAAGCATCTCTACAAGTGCCACCACGTGTTGCAGCTAGCATGGAGTCTCCCCATATGATCTTGTTGGCTAATATGAACAGTGGCCAGCCACTGACAAACACCTGCTAAAACAGCTGAGTTGTTCTCTGTTCTCACAAAACCTGTAAGAACAGCTCTTCAGCACTGCCATCCCTCTGCCAAACCTGGCAGAAGTGTGCAGAGTTTTAAAAGCTAGAAGGAGGGACAAGGACAGGCAATGCAATGACATAAGCTCCAACTTTTCAGGAAACTAAGCTAAAAAGAGTCATTACTCAATAGCAGAATTTACAACTTGCAGATTTTGTTGTAGCAAAATATGCCTGTTCAGTAACTATAAATACCCCTAATACATTTCTGTGGCTTATTATGTATTTTTTTAAATTCATTTTTTTAGGTAATGTCAGCTTTGTAATGTCAATTACCCTCCAGGTTTGAAAGGCACCCAGTGACCAGCATTCTGGTGTAATTATTCATGACATTGGCGTGATTCCTCCCCCTCCCAGTAATACTGACAACTTTAACAGAAATCTATTAAGTTAAAAAGAACAAAGATATATATTACATTTGCTAATTGCAAACAACCTCTTTTAGCTGCAATTTTTCCCATTGGGATTAAAAAGTGCACCAGTTTAACATGTCTGTACATTAAAAACAGTTTAAAACATTAAATATACAAACAGCAAGACATTTTAAATATTTTGTATCAAATACTATAGGACAATATAATTTACATTTTTCTTTTACACAAAACATTACACCTGAAATATAACTTTAGATATTACAGAATATAAAAATACATACTTTTTGTCTAAAAATGTCTTTGCAGGTTTTGGCACAATGTAATACTTTAAAGGCACACCGTATTTTGGCAATCTATATTTGCAATTAACCGTGCAATGATAATAAAAATTACCTGTAATATAACTCTTAGAACTGCAAGGCCAGATGCTCCCCCTTCTCCCTGGAATAGCCCTTTAATCAGGTAAGAACTTAAGGTGAACCATTTAGGTGTTCCGCAACTCATTTCTGCCGCGGCCTGAGCTCTCCAACCGTAATCCAGCAAAGCAAGAACAGGCTTAACTAAGCACGTGAAAAGCCACATCAAATGCAGTGGGATTAGTCATACTTTCAGAATTTTTGCCATCTCAGGGTCAGAACGCTCAGCCTCAGGCAAAACTGAGCCCTAACTGCGAGACCTTGGGAGCCAAGTTCTGTTCTGCTCTATGTTTGCGCCAAAAGTAGTTAAAAAGTAGGTTAAAAAGTCAGGGCAGAACTTGGAAACACAAGTTCAGTAATGTTAATTGCTCTAATTTCAACTACACCAATGTAAAAGTCATAATGACTCTACTGAAGCCAGTGGAGACATATGAAGTAAAATTGCTATAAGACTGAATCAGGAGAACTATGTAATTTTGCCTTTCTGTGCATTTATGGGAATCCCACTGGAGTCAGCACAGGGCTAAAAACGTGTCTTTAGAGATATATGGCTTATACAGATGCAATTGGGTTGCAAAAGATTTTCAGTTCTGTCTTCAAGTTGTTTCTGGGCAACTAAAAACCCAATTTTCTGCTCACTAAAGAAATATTCAGTCTAAATCCCTTACTTTAAATGCCCCAAAATAAGTTGCTTCTTGTGATGAATCCAGTAGCAATGGGTTTGACACCTGGATACTTATCATTTCACCAGATTTTAACTTAAAAAACCCTCCTACATTGACAGAATAAAAATGAAATTCTGAATTCCCTGACCAGTACTTGGTGCTTCCACCCTTCATCAACACATCAGAGCGCCTTATTTTAAGGTTTGTCTTAGTCATGTACACCATCAGCTGAAGCCCTCTTTTGGTCAGGCTGCCTGAAGTTTCATGATGTCTAAAACAAATGTTGGCATAAAGGTAGTAAAATCCATCTTGGTTAACAATCAGCTTTCCATCATGGAATGTCATATTTGATAAGTTAGCCTGGCCTTTGTCGTGATGCCAGGATGTGAGGTTCACTTTACGGGTTCCTGAAAAGAGAGGAGAAAAAAAAATATTTATAAACGTTTAACAAAACTCAACATTTAGAAAGCAACTTCCAGGTTTTCAAAATCAATAGCAACCACAGTTATACAGGCTAAAGTGAATATTAGAAAATTTTGATTTAAAATATCATAAGAAATATCCTTTTTTCACTATGGACTGCCGTATTTAGCTTGCTATTTATAACTGTTTGCCATCCCACCAGAATAGCTGCTGGGCCATGATACAAAACATTTACTTGGCCAATACTTTGATTACGCTAAGCAAGCATGCAACAAGTTCTGTATAGAAACTGCATTCCACCTAAAAGTCTATTCAAGTAACAAATATTTGAGAGGAATTTGAAAAGTTACTAATGGAAAAAGAGCAAATCTTGTTATCAGTCTTTAACCTGTGAGTGTTTGCAAGAAATAACTGAACAGAATCTGAAAACAAGTTGAAAACAAGTTAAACTGGTAATTCCCCAAAGAGAAAGCTTATGAAACCTTCCCATATTTTATCCTCTTGTGACTGTAGTGGTACAAAGGTAAATGCACTTTCATTCAAGAACAACAAAAGATAGGGAAAAAAACAGTGCAATTGTGCATCTTTAGTACTACACTGTAAGTTGCCTAGACTTCAGATAGTACTTCAAGTATTTATGACAAACTTTTTTTACATAAAACCAAAGTTTAGACTTAACCTAGTACTTGCATATACCAAGGTAAGGCTCCACAATCCGCTTTAGTCATATCCATATCTAGGATAGTGTCTCACAGCACAATCCCAATTCTTTGATAACTGTACAAATACTTACAGTTGGGCAACTATAGCTATTCGGAAGGTAAACTCAGATTCTTTGTTTAATATCTAGTGGAAGAACATCTTGGAAAAAGAGCTTGAAGAAGACAGATGTGATTCTGGATTTTTATTTTCTTTCCTTATTTTTATTTATTTTAAAATATCTAAAGTTTTAAACTAGAAACAATGAGCTGATATTGCATGCTTGGAGAACAGTCTCCTTCAAGTTGTCTTAAGCTGGAGGAAAATTAGGAAAGAAAATTATAATATTCTCTCTCCACAGAACATCATACACATGGGAATCAAAATACATGTATAAGTTATCAAGTCTGAATACCCAAAAGGACAGTAATAGTATTAACATCTGTAAACAAGCTTTATTAATTCCTTCTAACAGGTACATATAAGCCTTTTCAGCTCTGCCTGCACGATGGTGGCCTGGTAAACAAGAAGCTGTCCCTTATCTGTTACAGTGACTGAATGTTTTGTAAAAAGACTGAAAAGGAGCAGAGAGACTGGAGTTGTTATGATTAGTCAGCTCAGCGCTATCACTGAAAGCTAAATTCAGATATACAGGTATCATCAATGTCCCTTAGAACTGGAGATTTCAAGCTGGTCAAATCTCAGATGTCATTTCATGTAGATCCTGGACATTAGGAGAAGCTTCTTTGGACATTAGGAAAAGGTTCTTCATTGAGAGAGTGGTTGGTCACTGGAACAGGCTTCCCAAGGAAGTGGTCATGGCACTAAGCCTGTCAGAGATCAAGGAGCATCTAGATGATGCTCTTAGTCATATAGTTTAGTTTTAGGTAGTTCTGCAAGGAGCAGGGAGATGGACCTGATGATCCTTATGAGTCCCTTCCAACTCAAGATACTTTATGATTCTTCTATTGAGACTGTGCTAAGAGATGGCCTGGCAGGAGGTCAGATAGGCACTGACAGAAGGCATTTGAGTCATCCTTCTGAATCTGGTCACATTTGACACTTCAGTTTGGTTTTGGTGGCACAGCGTTAAGAACCATCCTGCAACACCAGCCCATGTATTATGTACTTTATCACAATATTTTCTGTTGAGCAGCCTGCCTTGCAGCACACCTCCCGCAGTCCCTACCACCTCTCCAGCTTTACCACCATCCCATTATAGCATCCACTTCATCTCACAGCCTCTGCCTGCAAAAACAGGCAGCAGTGGGAGAAGAAGATCCAGCCAAGGCCCATGGGCATGCCCACAAAGGGAACAGCATTGTTCTGAGAAAGCCACGCAGGCCCTGACCCTTCCTGATATGTACAAGTCACCAACTCTCCACTACTTATTCAGAGTACTACACAGGGCACAACACAACAGGTAAGAGTTGGCCAACTTGTACTCCTAACCACTAGCAATGTTCAACACCCAAGACTAAGTCCATTTGCTCCCTCTGAAGCACCCACAGCAGTGGGTCCACACAGGCACCAGAAGACCTTACACCTTAAGCTTCCAGTGCCTCTAAACACCTGCTTGGAATATTCAGTACCTAATTCTCCCAACATCAAACCAAAACAATTTATTCCCACCAAAATTCCCATAGTACATGGCAGGGCTCACCACCCTCTCCTCCAAGCATGCATCAAGGCATGCCCCAGAACCATCAGTGCCCAGAAGCATGGAAGAGCCCCAGGCAAATTAGATGAGTTAAAAAGATGCCTCCTGGATTTCTTTGTGCAGAAAGATGTAAGGGAAAGTAGGGACAGGGGAATTTGAGAGCTATTGAGTCTTCCTTAACTGCCAAGGGCAAGCAACTTCTGCATGTGAGAGGAATACTTTAATAGAAGTCCAGAACAAAAAGCTTCTGGCATTCTTCCACAAAGACTTGAGCAAAGCACAGGCTGTCAACAGCATATCATAAATATTTGCTCCCCTATGGCTCCAGTACAGCCAGGTAGAGATTCTACAAGCAAAATCATACAGAGAGGCAATCTTCTGTGCAGTGCCTCAAAAAAGCTTCTAAAAACCATCCATTAATTGAAAGCGACACTAAAATTTGAGGTCTCCTAGCCTGGAATTATTCACCTGCAAGAGATGTTGAGACAGGGTACACCTCTGAAGCACTGGGGATAGGTGAGGAATTAATGCCAAGACTGCCAGAAATACTGCCCCAAGGAGGCTGGAGTACTTTCAAGAGGAGGATAGTCCACTGCTTGGATCAGAGGAAAGGCACATCAGGGATACAGGACAAGAATATATGTACAATAGAACAGAAAAACATGCTGGCCTGCTGTGACTGACTGGTGGCACACTGGGGAGTTGCTAGGCAGATGTTATTTACTTGGCAAGTAAACTTTTTAGTTGCCAGACTTAATCAAGAAGCAATTTTGAAGAAATAATTAGTGGGAATGCATAATTCTCTGCTGAAGAAGAGGGAAAAGAGGTGTTACAGTTGCTTGTAACTGAGATACTGAGAGGGGATCTGCATGAAGTTTGTTCACATTGTTTGGTGTTTAGGGGAATATGCATCATTCATCCATGGCCAGGTGGAGGGACAGACTAAGAGATGATGGAAGGTGAGCACAGGATCAGCCTAGATAACTTCTGGAAGTCCCTTCCAACCTAAATTATAATGCTACGATTGTATTAACTGAGGCAGATGGCCATGTTGCCACAGTTCAGAGCTTCAAAAGAGGCAACCCACAGCCAGCAGCACAGCATGAAGATGCATTGGTAGGACTTATGCCATGCAGCCTTTAATGGAAGAAGCAAACAGGCTCTCAGCACTTCTAGTAGTAATTCACCCAAATCTGGAGATGTCAAAACAATCAATACCCCAAAACACAGACAGAGGAGAAAACCTGAGCATATAATTTGCAAATCAGCTGTCCATATATAAGAAACTCTGAAACGTAAACCAAGCCATAGGACAGTCAGGAATGCTGCAATACAGCATCTTCTCTGATAAAATTTACTATGGAGCCATGAAAAAATAGCACAAGGTAAGTCATGTTGACAGAGAAGGAAGAGGTCAGAGAGATAATGAGTAAGATAACCTTCCAGACATAGTGAAAAGCATTACAAGAAAGGCAAGTTAAAACAGTGTCTTCCTGGTAACTGAAGGCAAATCAAAACAATGTCTTGGATATTTGTGAGCATGAACTAAGACTAATACAAACTAATTTCAATAACATTAATTAGTAAGAAGAAAGATCATGAGAGGGGAACAGAGGAGAAAGTAGCCCTGTACTGATTATTCATTTGCATCCTAGTAGCTTCCACACATCTCAGCTTTCAAGCCTGAGGGAAGGAACAAAGCACTGTTTGCTCTGAAAAAAACTTTCTGGAAGCAAAGGGCAGCTAAGCTGAACCTGTGGCTGTAAATAGCTCAGAATACTACAGCATTTCCTCCTTAGACAGCTAAAGGTATCAATTCACATCCCAAATTATATATTTAGCACTTATATTTATTTCTGTTTGTGATTTTCTCCTTTAAACTGTGACTAATTTCTGTAATCAATTTATAAACCAAAATTCACTGTTTTCATTTAAAATCTAGGTAGCATTTATAGTGAGCTCTGGTAAAAAACAACCAGCAAGTGTCCAGCTTTAACCTAAGGCAGCAAACTTAAATAATACACACAACAAGCCAAACCACTACAGCTTCTGCAGCCAAATGATGGGTGGGGACACCAAGATCTGGTAAGGGTTATTTTCCCCCTCCTTCGCACTCCTCCCATTTGAAAAAGTCCATTTGAGTCTTGATATTATTGTGAACCAGGTAGCAGGAAAATGTTCCCTCCCAGACATTGCTCAGTGTACCCCTTCATGAAGGATTTCAGTGGCAACCTACTTAAAATAAAATGCTGTTTGATGAAGACTGACTTTGGTTTTTTTCTGACATTGTTTATTTTGGGTAAGAGTGATGACAGTAGAGAATCTTAAAATACTAAGAACAGATCTGTCCAGACTCATGGATGGCATAAAATGCCATGGAAAGACTTCAGACATGCAGGGTAAGGAACCGGGGGAAGAAAAGAGAAATTGCCATTTGCAGTCAGAGGAAACAGGATGGCAAAGAAAAACTCCTGATGACCCTGAGGCAAACTTTTCACCCTTTATGCCTGACATTAATCTTAATGCCACCCAGCCAAGTGAGTACTGCCTCATTCCAGTAAGCATGATACTAAAGTGTCTCACAACCAGAAAGTTCAGACATCCATCCATAAGGATGCAGCCCCTGGCTGCTGCAATGCCTACAAGGACAGCAGAAGCCGTGCTCATGATTAACATCCTGGTAATGCTCTTCCAAAGGAGACAGAAGCCATACGTGCCAGATCAGGAGAGAGTTGGTCCAACTCATCACATTGGTAAGGGGTTGATCTGCTCCAAGGAGAGACAAAGCAGATTTTTGCCACTGGCACTGTGTTTCTGAGAGTTCTTGCAGCCTGTGCTATTAAAAAAAAAAGTGAAAAGCACAAGGAAGAGCAATGCCTTCCTTGCCATTACCCACAGATGTGCTACATCACTCCCTAGGTTAATGCAGCGATGCACAACAGTAAAAATAATCAGCTGCTAGCCTTGATGAAAATACAGTTTACAGCAACATCCAGGTAGACAGCAAATAAATTCCCCACAGAAAAAGGCAGATTTCACAAAGCATGACACTGACACACTCCATTTCTGTAGATACAAGTGATCTGTCTCTAAGATTAGCAAATTAATTGAATCCTTCCAAAGACAAAATGCTAAGACAAGTTTACTGATACTGCATCTTCTACTACTACTGACCTATGCCAAAAGGCAAAATCTGACTGAAACAGAAGCTTGCCAGGAGGCATTTGAGCTAATAAGAAAGTTTGTGGAAGTTCTGTCTGCCACCTGACAAGCTGCTTAAGCTTTCTGCTTATAAAGATATGGATCTGGGCAATGCCAATGCACTTGACGGGAGAAAGAATCCTTTCCTTCCAGGCAAGAAGCTAACCCCTTGTCAACAGAAGTGCTTTGTCTTTAAATAGCGCAAGAGCAAGGTATTACTATGCAGGCTGCTGAAATCTCAGATTTCAAGCCTCAACACAGCATTCCCCTTTGGTTTGGTTATATAAAGCAGAAAAGCAATGCACATAGCTTAATTAGCAAGGGGTTCAGCACTGCAGAATGTACACATCTTCAGAGGAAGACAGTGGTGATCAATGCCCCCTCTTATCTTGAGATTCTCTGTTTGATAGCTTCAGAGTAAACTCCGGTTTACTTTACCACTCCCCAATGCTGGTTTTTGTGTTGAGCATAGAGAGAGAAAAATCTCAACTGACAGTGTCCCAAGGCAAAAAATGGAAACAGTATCAAGCTATCTTAAAACTGTAGGAATGAATCTTTTCCTCTGGAGAGTGTTTCAGGGCAGACTCATGTCTTGTTCCCTTATATTGTACTAGTGAGCGTACTCCCAAAGCCATCCAAAGATACTTGCAGGTACAGAATAAGAGCTCTGACAAGAAAAATTAATGCCATCCTCTTACCATAGGGGCAGATAAAAGCTGCAGGAACATTATTTTCCCTATTCAATAGAAACATACTGTATCCAAGTCAACACACTGCCCAGAAACTCTCTTGCTCAAACTACAGTGCTATGGTCTTTGATCTCCCTGCTACTCAACCAGATGGAAGCAGACAGACCCTTGTGAAGCTTTGGCATGGCTGAATGTCAGAAAGGCCCTGGGTGTCTTGATGTGCAAAAGTCTATACCAGTCCTGCAACATAATAATGAATGGAATATGACAAAACCTTTTTAACGTGTCATTAGCAGAAGGAAAGGGATGATATAAATTCAGCCCTATGCTATCAGAGTGCAATGCACCCACAGAGGGCAGGGAACTAGCAGGTGAGTTATAATAATGACATTGGGACTGCAGTTCTAGGTTTTCAATACCTCAAAATGAAAGATGTGCCTCCTTTATGGCAAGTTTTGACACTGATGGGCACCTGACATGCATGTGTGTTGTGCATTCATATAAGATTTTCAGCTTCCAGATCAACCATGAAGAATAATGCTGTGTCACCCAGTACAGACCCAATTACACTTCAGCACACAAAAGGAGTGTTGCTGTGAAGACTTGAATAGGTGGACATAAGACATTCTTGAATTTTACAAACAGAAAACAATATATGTCTTCATCTGGCACAACAGAACAAAAAAAACTCCTTAGACTCAGCAGAAGGGAAACATCTTACAACCTGCAAGATCTGGACTTTGGCTAGTCTTTTGCTGGTATATCCTTGTATCTATGTGTGTATGTATGCATACATCTCTGTGTACGTATACCTTTAGCTGACATCCATCATGAGTAAAGAACTCCAGATGGGCCCTACTAGACAAAGAAAATAAGGAACCAAAATTGAGCAATGCTCTCTCTGAAGGAGAGCATTCAATGCATATCTTCATTCCTCACCTGAAGACAGAGTAAAGAAGCAGACCAAGCCCTCAGGGCTTGATCATGAAAACTGGTCATTTGAAATGGAGGTCATTTGGCACATAACAGACTGATGCAAGATACCCGAGACAAGGGGAGGTACTGTACAGTTAACATTACCCCTGCTGTCTCTGAAATCTTTTAACACATCCAATTTATTCTCATCATCAAAAGCCATTTCTGAAACCTCAGTCTGTTGCTGGTATGGCTGAATGATTTTTATGTAATTCAGTGTTTAATGCATTTATAGTAACATTGGAAGTATTCACTTAAAACTGAACTTACCAGATGGAATATTCTTATCATCAATAATGAGATGAGCAAAAGGCTGCTTCTCAGGTTTGTTTCTCTTGTACAGATCCATTCCTAATGCCTCCATTGCAGCTAGAGATAAAAGAATGACATTACCTCAGAAAGACAAGTTCAGCAGAACTAAAATATTTCTTATTCATAAACCAGCACCTACCTTTTTCTGGTCTTGGTGGTGCTCTTCCTATGACACGCTGGACTTCCTAAAATGAGAAATAGCCATTGCTTTGATGATTTGTTTTTGTGATATTGCGTATTGCAGATAGTTTGCACCTTTACAACACTCTGTATGTGGGGGTTGTTCTACCTACAGCATATTCACAAGCCTGGGATACATATTCTCATATTTCCATGATGTATATATGAACACACAGTTTAGCTGCCACAATCAAATTACTTCCTCTGTCCAATACTTCAGACAAAGGTGGATAGGAATGATGGTGTGTATGACCACTGCACTATTTATTGAAGTAGCAGTGACAGGACATTTACAACCTTTACTACTTGTTGCACTTCGAATATTTCTGTAAGTATAATGGAACAGTGACTGCTAAGAATGCATCACATAAAACAGTGGAGTTTATGAACTCATTACTCGAGGTCAAAAGGTAATGAAAGAGGCAGCTCTACACAGGGACTAGTGGGTAATCACACTAACAACTAAGGAAAGCTAAGCTCTGAATTTCATCTGTGATGAAGTAAATGAGAAGGTAAATGAAAACCTCCACCTCTCACACTTTACTACTAACAGAGGAGGTTGCATGACTACAAGGTTTTATAATCAAGGTTCACTTTCAACAAGTCATGCAGGAACTGAAGCATTAAGCATCTTCCAAATCTGTACTGGGCCAAATGGACTGGGTGCCAGGGTCTGGTGTTACCCATTCTTTGAAACTGCATACGAATTCTTACATGAATGAAGCCCACATTACCCAAAACTAAGATCAGCACAAGTAACAGACATCAGGTATCACAAAAACCTTGCTTTTAATAATCCACATCTGTTTTCTTCTTGAGAAAACATACAAACTGCAGCTTACAAAAGCCTAAGTGGCTTGTTCTTGTTACAAGACTGGACTGAGTCTTCGTAATATCAAGTTTGATCCTTAGTTCTGTTCCCTGTTCCCTCATGATTCTCTTCTCTGTTTTCTAAACAAGAGGTACTATTCTGCTTGCTATTCAGAATACCTCATACTGTGGTGTCATCAAGATGACGCTTAGTAAAAGGAAACATTTTGCTCAAGATAACAAATCATATCTCATCTTTGAAACCTAAGAGTGCTCTTTTGTTCTGTCTTTGTCACGCATTGCTGGTTGGCTGATTCAGTTCTGTGGATATGCAATACACCTCAGATTTGGCCAGATCAGCAATGTTCCGCTGTGTTCTCAGTCACTGTGGTGTTTCACAATTTGAAATCCTGCTTTGAAAACACCTAAAATCCTGCTTTTATGTAATTTTGCAGCCACAGTGAAATCTGTAATGCCTTAGCAGGTACTTTTATTACTCTCACTTTCCCCTTTCAGTAGGTGTTTACATGTTAAACCAAAATGAAAAGCCACAGCAGTATGGAAGTCATAGTATGACTATCAAAGCGTAATAATTCAGCAGAGATCTGCTGATTTTGTAGATAAGAATCATTAAGATGCTTTCTGCTACAGAGACAAGAAGAAAAGCAGAAGAATCACAACTTCAAAAGCAGCAAAACTCATGTCCACCTCCCCCATTTACATTCACTTCCCCTCTCTGATCTTCCTACTCCAGTCTCAGTTCTAGGAGCACAAAAATGAAGCTCAGTTCTAGGAGCTGCACACCAGCATCAGCCTCTAGCTACACCTGAGCTCTAACTTCATCAGAAGTAGGAAGACAACAAAAAATTGCAAATACTAGATACTGTGAAAAGCGACAAAAGCCTTTGAAGGGAACAGGACATAAGGTAAAAGAGACCGGGAGGTGGTCCACACTCTCACAAGATTATGGCACCATACCTATTCCTAGACCTTTCCCTAGAAAGGAAAGACTCTTTTGTTTTCTTGCTTTCTTAATGGAAGCTTCTCAGACGTGGAGTTTGCTTTCATCTCCTTTCCTTCTGGAGTATGTGATGATGCACTTGCCTGGAGAGGCTACTGGGCAGATCCAAAAAGAGCTATCTACATTTTAATCTCCTATTATCTAAAATGGTACTAAAAAAACAATCCTATGGTTGTCTGACTGACTGCTCAGCCCTTGAAGTCCCTAAGCTGGCCAATCATTATCCTTCTCTTAACTTACATTTTGCACATTTCCAAGAATGCTTTAACATGACCAGCTGGGTACCTCACCTTCTGAGATCTAGCAGCCTGACTCAGCTCATCTTCCATGCTGAAAGGCTGTGGTCCTCATGAAGTGCAGTCTAAGCTGCTTGCCTTCTAACTGATGGTGGTGCTGTTCATCTGCAACATCACCACTTTGTAAGCGGAACAGCTACCCAGGAAGACTCAGATCCTCAACTCTCCTTGCCCTGATGGTCTTGAGCCTATTTTCCTGTTTCCTAGGAACATCTCTCTCTGACTGGAATGCTCTCCTGTGCTCCTCTGGAAGCTATGCTACTGTATAATTAGGAATCCAAATGTCATTACAAGAAAAGGGAGACTATAAGCATGAGTCCACCACTAACACACTGAGAAGAACTGGAGATTGGTCCATGTTCACTGACTCTTCTGTGTGTTCGTAATTGGAATAGTGGCAAGCTTGTGGCCAGAAAATAGAAATCTTACCCTATCCAAGTTTTCCAAACACTGGACTAGGTGTCAAGTTCTTGACTTGATTCTGACCAGCCCCACCAAATTGACATTCCTTTCTGTTCTGTTGCCCAGGCTTCCAAAAGGAACCTGAAATACATGAACTAGTCCCTAGATAACAGGGATGAAGCTGTGGGTTTCCACCTGAAGAATTACTAGATCAACACTTCTCTTGGTTTTTTGTTTTGTTTTGTTTTAATTCATGTTTCTAGAGTTGCAAGATGCTGATACACAACCTACCTTAAAAAAGCATTTTAGCATGTACTTGCTTCTGACCCCGAAGGACTCAAGGACCACATTTTTCAGCGGATGTCTGAAGACATCCAATCTTAGTGGGTTTATAAAAATCACCTGGTATCCTTACTGCAAGGAATTAAGAGCAAAGATTTTCCAAATGTTTAAAGTATCAACTGCATTCTTTAGCACCTGAATGTCTTTAAGCATCTCATACCTTATCACCCTGTACACTACCATTAAGAGAGACAAAACAGCTCAACAGAGCTTGTCACTAAGACACTGCTACAATGGCATGCAAACTGCTGACAAAGTATTACCAGTGACCTCTCCTACAACTTTCACACACAGAACCGTGTGTGCTACCACATACCCTCAGCATCTCAGCATCTTCAAAACAAAAAAAAAAAGCCTCTTGCTCTTCAAGTTATGTCCAAATTTGAGGATGCAGAGACAAGGCTACATTTGAACACGTGACATTTGTGAATGTTTTTTTCTCTCCTTTGGCTTTTACAGTACCTCAGTATCTACTTTGAGCAGTTTTAAGTAGCCTTTTGAGACCAATCACAAGAGAACCTCTCTGGGTATTCAAGTATTGCTTCAGCTGTGATCTTAAAGCTCCTTTGTGCAGTTGTTTCTTCTACTACCAGAATACTTTATGTCCAACTAATACCAGGAAGAAGTATCTGATTATCTTGCCAGAAATTCAGCAATTTAAAGAATACTAATCAGGAAGCGAAACAGAAAGTACATGAATCAGTATTCACCAGAAGATAGAGATCAGCACTACAACCTCTACCCAAATGAGCAGTCTACTGCTTGCATTTAAAAAAAAAAAAGGTATGTGAGGTTGTAGGATGGAAACTGAAATTTTAACAACTTAGAGCAATCATCTGTGAAACCGTGACTTCGTCCATAACTACATGCACTTTAAATGTCTGCTACATATATAAGCTCTTCAGAAGTGCTGCTCTGGAAGTCTAGCAAAGCACCCTGTTGCCATGTGAGAGACTATTTTACACCTGAACTCCCCAAGCTCCTAGAAGCTGGGAGTATTGCCAAGAAAAATTACTTACACAAATTGACCCAAGATATGTTTGTAGTCCTTTCTACTTCAAGCTCAAAACAGACTTCATAAGAACTGTGGTTAGTGCATCTGGAATGCCAATAGGTTTTTAGGGTTACATGCACAAAAAATTAAGCAAACAGGCTAGGAAAGTATATTATTTGAATGCTTGAAAGTTTATTTGCAGTAATACTGAAAATGTTCTTCCTACTGAGTAAGCTGCTTCCTAAGCAGTGTTTTCATCCCAGAATATGTTAAGGAGTTCACCATTAGATTTTGATTAAAAGAAAAGCTTTAATCATCATATTTTTCTAGGAGACAAATGTTTCTAGACCTGACCTTGCAAGCCCTACTATACTGGTTTTCATAATAGCACTTTCATTTTCAATGTCAATCCCCACTTCAGATTTAAACACTACATCTACAGGTGTGCAAAGAAAACAGATGAGAACCAGTGCAGTAAGCTAAAAGCTACAACCAGACCATAAACCTGAGCAAAACCAAATTGTCTATTTTCATTTCCTGAACAGCTTGAATTGCAAAAAAAACCAAAATTTTGAAAAAAATCACAAAACTTAAATGGTTTTTTAAAGAGTTTCATTTCAGTCACTTAATATGCTGTCAACTCAAATAAGGATACTGGTTCTTAAAACACAGACAGGTTAGATTCTCCTTCAGCAAAGTGAAGAAAGCACAGAAGATAGGAAACCTCTCTCAAGGCACATTAGCTGCATTCCCACACATAAAGGACTAGCACAACTGGAAGTAAGATTCAGCTGAATCTCTGCCCTTCATTGTAGTGCAGCCAACAAAAGGCAGAGCTCATAGAACATGATAAAGTAAAGTTTTGCCTTAACACAGTTTCTTTCACTTCTCTGATATACCAAAAAGATGCAAATGTAGTCCCAGACAAGCATTTTCCTGTTTTTCTCTGTGTCATCAATATATGATGACAAAGCATCCAGAACACTGACCCAGCTGCTTAATGCATTTTGTTGCAGTCAAAGGAAATTCAGTCTGATTACTTTGGCAAGGGAAATTTTATTGTTCTCAGGCTAACGGTCATCAGCCAAAAAAGTTATGCCTACTCACTACTTATCTTGGCCACGGATATTGCAGCATTTAACCTCCATCCAGAATGGTAGGATATGCAGCCTCAGCTAAAGCCAATGTCTTTGTTGAGTAACCAGCAGCAAATGACCCGAATACAGGGCTTCCCATTCACTTACTGTAACAAGCTCCTTACTCTGTCATGGGAACCACGTGAACAAGCAGTCCAGTACCAGCACACAGAACAGAAGTAGGTGTAGTGTGAGAGCCTCTATAAAACACTGGAGGAAAGAAGTAATCCTACAAAACTAACCCTCTTTTTTCCCCTCAAGTTTTTAAAGAACACAGCTAGCAAAAGGGACAAGACATGAACTCCTAGGATTCTTTAAGTTTTGTTCACAAAAGCATCTGTCACTCAGGGTACTCCACTAAAAGCACACATTAACAGAATTAAAGTACCATATAATTAACTCAAGTACAATTCTCTCTGTAAAGTGTACATGAGTTCAGCTCAAATCCAATGTAGTATCCTTTATGAAACACTGACAGTCCTGTGCAGATATGAAGTAGCAGTAATGGACCTGGCAAGCCAGGAAAACCAAATACCATAGCAGATGTTCAGCTTTTGAATAGCCCATAATTAGCACTAAACACTATCATGAACATGCAAAGAGATCAGAGGCAATAACTGCTCTAAGAGGTGATAGTGACATATATCCAGTATGCTCAGACTTCTTCATTAGGGCTGACTTCTTTAGCTGACTACTTTTGTTATATTTTTGTTATTCTTTTTGCTCTTCTGCCAGTGTGAGAATGGTCTGCACAGAACAGACAACTGGCAAAGTGAGCAAAAAAGAAAAAGGAGATACTACCCGTCGTTTTGGGTTGCTGAAAGAGTTGCTCCTTTGTCTTTCGGGCAATATTTTGCTTGTTGATGATCTTGACTTGGGAGAATCTTGTCAGAAACAGAGTCAGGAAGATTGTTTGGAAAAAAATGTGGAACTGCCCTTTATTATGGACATTCTAAGTGTTGGCAAACCAATACAAATATTAGGATAAATGACTACCATTCATGTCCATCCAAATGTCAGAACAGCAAATCAACTAACTGCAATCATAGTTTTCTCAGTGTGACTTCAAGTCTTCCTTTCTTAAAAAATTAAAAATAAAGTGTGTTTGAATACAAAATTTGTTAACCACAACCAGGTTCATGAGCAAACACAACATGACCTTGGATGCAACTTCAGATATTATTCAAACACCAGAAAATACTTTCTAGAACTTACCTCCAAATACAGATGTTGGAAAAACTGTTGCAAGTTCAACAGAAGCATGAAATAAAGGAACACACAGACTGTCTGCCACTTACCTTCTGCACAGCCCTTTGGAGAGCCTGTTTCATGCTTCTACATGATTCTGGCATTAACTTCACTTCTTGATTTTCAAAGGATGCATCATGCAAATCTGTATTTTCTTGATGTCCAAAAAGTGTTCTGACACAGTGTGCATGTTCTTTTGAAATTCTAGTAGGGTCCATCTGAAACAAAAACATAAGCACAACCACAGTTTTAAGCATCTGTTCAAGAGACATTAAGAGCATTTAAGTCAGGGGGAATTTTCAACCATCTTAAAAGTTTGGCACCTACCTAAGTTTATTATTATTATCTAAATTTTCAATGTAAGCAATTAAGAGAAAAAGTTCCCCACATGGAGCTTTGTTTCATCCAGCAAGCATGAGATAGGAGAATTAATTACCTTCTGGAGCTGCCTAGTTCATTAGCTTAGACTGGATAGCTGACTTTCAACAGTTAAAGATAAATCCCATTTTTACAATAAAACTAATAATCCTGAATTCCATCTTTTGACCAATCAGTGCAATATCCCAATTAGTTTAGCAGGCAACATACACAGCCGTCCTATCTGTAAAAAAAACTACGGTTTGCAAGATGACACGCAAAATCCAATGAGAGGAACTTTGGGGAAGTATGTGCAACATCTAACACATCATTTTCAAGAGGAGAAACAGAAGAACAGAAGCCAGTTATTTGGCTTCACTTACCACTGCAACTATTTTGTGGGCAAGATATTGCTGCATGAAACAGTCATGAAGACAGCACAAATTCAGAAGGACCAAAAAATGACAGAACTGTACCACAAAACACCTCTGCTTTGTGGGACAAAGACTGATAAATTTAGAATATCTGCAAGATATGTTTAGCAATCAGTCTTTTATGATTGAATCAAATATACTTTTACACTGTAAGTTTAGAATACTCCTGAATTCTATCAGTTAGATAAATTGGAAGGATATTCCAAGAACTAGGATTGTGCCTTGGCAGATTTTAATTGCATAAACATTATTTAAACCATTTCACCTTCTCTCCCCGCACTCTATATACTTTACACTCAAGAGATATTAACCACTGTGTTTCAGAGATTGCCTGAGACTCTCAGCAATTGTTCTCAGGTATTTATTCTGCTTTTACTTCAGGCTTGAAGAAAGGTTTGTGCACTCGAAATCTTACGTAAGTTCTCTATCTGTATCAGCTGGTCTAATAAAGAACATTTACTTCTTTTTGTTGAAAAGAACAATTATATCTGAGAATTACAAAAGGTAATACATTATATGTAATCATGATGAGGGAATGCCAAGACATTATGGCTAGTGCCTGACCAGTTCAGTTTCCCTTAACGTGACATAGGACAGAACAGATCAGAATACAAAACAGAGTAAATCAAACACGTTCATTTGTTCACTCAAACTTAAATTCGACTCCCTAACCCCAAAAAAGAACAAAGTTAACTTAAAAGCATGAGGTTAGGATTACAGAGGTGAATTTAAGTCTACACCAGCCAGGCAGCCGTCAACAGGCACACACTGCAGAGAAGCGCTTGTTGTATAGATGGCAACACCAAATGCTGCCTCCTCCATCATCGTCCTTCTGCTGAAGGCTCCAGATGAGAGCTGTTTGCCTGATTCATTCAGACCAACAACAGCCCCTGTGACCTGTTTTAGCTGTCTCAGTTATCCCTGCAGATCTGGAATGAAACAGGACAGAAATGTTCACCTGAAGACCAGAAGATGCAACAGCTTTAAGCAGAGGAGCAGAGATGAGTTACAAAACAGCCTGGACGCTGTAACATCTTCCTGGGGTGGCCTGACACAACTGAATCCTGAAGAAAATCTGTGTCTGGCCATTACAGCTCTATGAATTAATCACTTTAAAACTACAATTATGACTGCCAAAGTCAGCTAGTACAGTACAGCCCCATTAACTGTTTAAATTGATCTAATCCAAAACACCTCTGTCTTCTTACCTTCTTCACCACAAAATTGCATTCCTGGTTCTCAATCTCCTCTTTTAAACCAATAACCTGGGGGTAATTTTTGCTAATCTAATTTCCTGAAGGACTAGCACCCTGAAACCAACTCACTCCAGGTATCAAATGAGCATCAGAGCCAGTACAGGGTCAAGCACAGGAATGCAAGAGCAGAAAGGCAGCACTAGCTTTAACAACTGTAACACAATCTCTCCCCAAAAGTCTCTCTCCCGGTATCCAGAACACAGAAAATCAACTGTAACCTGAAAGAAAAAAAAATGACATGCAAAATGTTTACCAACAGCCACTTAAAGGCTGTTAACACAGAATGACCTATGTTGGAAGGTACGTCTCGAGGTCTCCAGTCCAGCTCCCTGCTCGAAGCAGGGCCAACTTGTAACTTAGGTCAGGTTAGTCAAGGCCTTGTCTAGACAAGTTTTGTGGTATCTCCATCGATGGGCATACTGCTCTACAATTTAACCACTTTTATTGTGTAAAAACACTGCTTTTGATGTCCAGGTACAGTTCTCCTTGCTGCAATTTATGACTGTGCCTCTTGTTTTTGCTCTGCACTTCTGAAGAGCCTGAGTCCATCCTTAGGTAGCTAAAAACACTTATTAGCTTTCCTCACCTTAGTCTGCTCTTCTTTAGGTTCAAATAATCCAGTTCTCCACTTCTGATACACTACAGTCCCTACCTATCACAGTGGACTTCTGCTGGACTCCTTCAAGCTGGTTGATATGCCTCTGGTCCTGAGGGACCCAAAACAGGACATTATTCCAGGTTTAGCCTCTTATGTTGGAATTATTAAAGACCTTAGGGAATTATGGTCTTCAACAGGATGTGGATGTCTCTTCCCTGCTTCACACACACAAGATAGAAGACAGAAAGCAAGTAACTGCCAGTAGATACTAATTTTTATCAGTAATTCTACCGGTGCAAGACTATTACCTCGCTTTTGAATTTATTTAAACACATCTTCTGAAAAGTAGACAAGAAAACTAGGTTTTGCAACAGGAAGCGGAAAATCATAAAGGCCTGAGTGTCCAACATGACAAATCACGCATAGCGTAGACTTACAGCTATCGCCCATCAGCATCAGTCAAACGTGCCACACAACACTGCCAGAACAGTAGCAGCAGATTGTACAGGAGCACTTACTCGGATTACAGTTTATCTTCTGAAGGCTTAAGACAGAAAACCAACATCTCTGCACCTACAGCTAGAAGATTGAAGGTTTACTGGAAACATTGTAACCAATAGCTTCAGCAACTTGAAGCTGCGCAGCCCATCCTGACAGAACTGCAAGCCTCTAAAGATTTGGTGGTTGATAAAATGAAGCTCTGATCTTGGGACTAGCTAACCTACCTGACTGCCTTTACCTTTTTCAGAGAATACCTAGTCTTCACCCCATTTAACCATGAAAATTACCTCAGTTGTCTGAAAAGGTATTCTCAGAAATCCTGCATCTTATATCTTTTCATAAAGAACGTGTCATGGCTGTAAACAGACATTACCTAGCACCGAGATCAAAACTGTGGGCAAGAAGTGATGCACAGAAAAACTTTCAAGGACATGTCTTGAGAAGAATGTCTAAAGACCCAGATGAAATACCAGAATGGTCTACAGGAACCAGCTTGCTAACTTGGAAGGAACAGAGACCTTCAGCATGAAGTCCTAAAGATTTAATACCTGGAAGAAACATCAAGAAGCAACTAAAAACATTGGACAAAGCCTTGTAACACGTTAAATAAGCTGAATACCCTAGAGAAATTAATCTATTTGAAGGGAGGAATGTCTAGCTTATTCTTCCTATGTTAGTTAGTGTTGTGTATACTTCCGTCGTGTTCAACCTTGGCATCAGATCAAATCTTTCTGTGACCCTTGATTTTCAGCATCTTGAATCGTTTTAGTTGCATCTCTGGACTCCTTTCACCTACATCAGGGCAGCTAAAATGAACTCCAGCACTGTGAGTGAGACCAGAAGGATGTACAGATTTAAGAACCAATTTTCCTATGTTAAAAAGGAACATTTTAACATCATTTTAAAAGCTGCAATACATTCTAGCCAACTTCACCTATTAAATGTTGCCTCAATTATGCAATGTTACAGTATCATATTCTGCATTTACTCCTTACAAAAAATGCTAGGATCACACTTGTATTTATTTTCAAATTTAAACCAACTTCCAGATTATTAAATATCACTTTGCACTCCACCAAGAAGGAGTTCCTCCAGGCTTCCAGAAAGTGCTAGTGTCCCCCAGCAAGCTGTCCTCTGTTAGCCACTGCTCTAGCACACTCACGATATTTTAGATGAAGTCTGAAAGGTGACTGTTTAAAAGCATACTGTAATGAAAGCCAGAGTTCCACAGATGCATGAAATGACAACAAAACTCAGACTTACAGGTCCCCATTTATCCAAGTGTGAATTCTTCAGTATGGTAGAATACTTAACATCTGCACAGACTTTCTTTTTAATGGGAAAAATGGATAGGCTTAGAGTTCCAGCTTAAACTATGGGAGTTAGACATCCAGCCCTTACATTTGGATTTGAGCATTTTCAGCTTGTTTCACTGCCCTCCAGTTCAGTGTTAGACCAAATTCCTACTCTTTTGTGCTCTAAGTGCATTAAGGAAATGGGCCAGAAAGAAAAGGTTACAAGCAAAGCTTTTGGAGACTATACTTTAGCATTTACTAGTGAAAGTTAAATAAAATGCTTCACTATCTCACCTTGTGCTGGGCATGAGTATTATGTGATGATCTTCAGCTGCTTCAAGTATCTAACTAATTTTCACGGCATTTTCATTGATCAAATGATCATTGAACAAATATTCCTTATGAAGTGTAAGTAAAATAAACACTTAAGGCCAATACGTTCAGTACTGCACAGATTCAGTACATTGCACAAGATGGTCCAAAAGGAGAAGCCAGAACATCTTAATGTTTTTACATTTCAGAGCACTATCACCGGGATATTGGTAAAATTCAATTCTTAGCTTTTTCATTCTTTTTAGCTCTATCAGCTCAGTCTCATTTGCATTGTACTGCATTATTTCTTGGCCACATACATGTGTTTACCCGTGAAAATCTAATGTCAGTCTTAGTTATATGTCTTGTGAAATTCCAAATGCTCAAGCCACAAAATAAACAAAACTAAGGAAAAACCAAAACCTCAACTATTGTCTCAGCTCATATGGTATCATGATCCAGCCCAAATGACTTTATGCAAATACAGATAAAATGTGTATGGTAAAACTGAGTCAGAGTTTACTCAGCCTCTCAGGTAGCGTTTTAAAGAGTTTGTAAAACGTATAATTTCTTAATATCAAGCTACAGAGTCAAATCTTGCAAATTCACATTTGGTTAATTCACCGGTCAAACAATTAAAATCTTTTGATGCACAGCTTCTACTATTAGCTTCTTCTCACTATATTAACTAAATACACCACGGTACTTAAGTTCTGTTAGAGTATAAATTTAGATAGCTGGAATTTGTACTGAAAAGTACAAACTGAGATAGCTTTATACAACTAAATTTGACAGCAATCTTTTCAAAAGAAAGAAGTCAGATCATGTCCCATATAAATAAAGCAATCTGCAAGACAGTTAAATAAGGCTTAACTTCTGCAGGGCTTACTATATTTTTCCATCTATCTTATCTCTCAGTAAGAAATGGGTGAACAAATATGGATTACCATATCTTATTATTACTTCAAAAGTATACTTATTATTCAATTTTTCAGTGATGGCAAATAAAACATTAGAAATTTTTCAGGCAATGACTTCAGTTAAGTCTACATCTAGCTACATTGTTTCTTTTAAATGTTTTCGGAAGTTCAAGTTTACAAAGGACTACATCCAACAGCATTACTCGAAATCTACAGAAAGTAGAAACTAGCAAAAGAATTAAGCTGTCAAATGCAAAATTACACCCAAACTATGTAATTTTTAAAATCAAGGAAGCAGAAGAAAAATAGTCATTACAATAAGAAAGCTCTTTTTACCCTTTGTTAGGTACATGTGAAGCACTGACATGAACCCATCAGAAAGAGTCCTTAATAAGGGGGGTCAAGGTAAAGAGCATGGAAAAATAGGGTTTTCAAAGAGTATACTTTGATTAGTTGTTTTGATTGCAATGGCTTTATAGCCTACTAATCAATGTATAGCTGTGCGTTTCTATGAGCTGTGTTTTGACAAATATGTCTTTTCAAGTTCATGCAGATCTGGAGTGAAAAACATTTCCACAAGCTGAAGTAGGGATTAATTTATTTCACTGTCAAGAAAACAAGTAGCTTTAAGCTAATTTACAATGAGTCCCAGAAATTACATGTCACTCTTCCGAAGCACACTGGATACAATTAACTAAGTACTGTATTGCTCTTCCATTTTATTTTTGTAAAAATGGCAAAAACAAAGACATTGTTGATAAGAAAATATAAATCGGTCTTCATAATAAATTATCAGCAGCGCTACTGTATATCTGATAGTCATTCATCTGTTTAAGTAGGTATACAGTTCTGCAACTTCTGTTTTCAGAATGCACTTTGTAAAGAAATCCAATCTGCTACAAGATCAAGCACATCTACCTAGAAAGTAAACCGAAAGAAACAGGTTTCCACTCCCTGCTGACTTCAAATGAAAAGCACACACAACAGAAATGCCACTTCCATGAAGGCAGTGACAACAATATTAACAGAACTCACTAGCATCTGACAAAAAAGCCAAGCAGAAAGCTAACACCTAGCTTTGAGAAGCAACCAGCCAGCAGCCCCCCACTTCCTCTGAGAGGGCTCAGCCCTGCAGGGTAAGAGATGCAGCAGCGAGTGAATCCAGGCAGCCAGCCGAACCGTTTCCAAGAAGCAGGCTCCTCTTCTCTCCGAAAGCCTAACCGCTCATCAACCTCTCTATGCTCCTTCCTGCACTCACCGCTGCCTCTTTGCAGCATCCCCTGGCAGGCTTGTGGCCTGAGGGGCAAGGGGCGGCTCTTCCTTCAAAACGAGCTCCAGCCGATGCCTGTTGATACACAGACCCCGCTCTGTAAGTGCCCCTGCGCAGTCTGAAGGATAAACGATCCCAAGTGGTGTCGTCTGGTGACTTTTTTATTTCTTCAAAGCCATTTCTCCTGCTGGTGAAACATTTATGGCAGCCAAAGACCTCAGCCACGTCAAACTACTCTCTGGTATAAGACGAACATTAAAAACCAAAGCCCTGCAAGACCTCAGGTGAAGCATCATTAAGCCACTTCCCAGGCCGTGAACACTTCACGTCCGACCTCACTGAGAAACCCTGTACCTCATTACCCACCATTAGGCCACAGCACTACCTAACACACCTCAGGCCGAGCAGCTCCAGCGACCATGGGACAGTGCAGGTACAGCAGAGTCCCGGGAGCCTTCCAGCCTGACACCATCTCAAAGCCGGGCCAACTTCAGAGCCGTATAAAGTTGTTCTTTTTGTTTTTTCTCATTAATCTACTGTACCTCCCCGATGCGAGCACCTTCCCCTCTTCCGAAAGTGGTGGGGCTCTCCCTCACAGCGCAGTTGCCGGCGCTCAACGCCCCCCGCGAAGGCGGGAAGGGACTGCGCCGACCCCCTCACTCCGTCGCCAGCACAAGCACCGCTTACCTGAGCTCGGAAATAGAGGAAGAGGGCAACGCTGCAGACCACCTGCCCCAGCCCCAGGAGGACGAGGGCGGCGAGGAGGGAGCGGGAGGCG